TTTGGGGTTTAGGATTTAGGGTTTAGGGTTTAGGGTTTAGGGTTTGGGGTTTAGGGTTAAGACTTTAGGGTTTAGGGTTCAGGGTTTAGAGTTTAGGGTTTGGGGTTTAGGATTCAGGGTTTAGGCTTTAGGGTCCTTGGTTTCGGGGTTAGCGTTTAGGGTGTAGGACTTGGGGTTTAGGGCTTAGGGCTTAGGGTTTAGGGATGACTCCATGGTACCTAGTCAAGAGTTTAGGCTCTAGGTCTGAAGTACCTACTTCAGCAAGAACTTAGGGTTTAGGGTTTAGGGTTTAGGGTTTAGGGTTTAGGTTTTAGGGTTTAGGGTTCTTCAGCTGAAGGTTTCTGACCTGACAAAAGTCCTGATATTAGAACCCGTGCCTACAGTACTACCACCTTCTTCTGTGGATTGCTTAGACCAGGGGAGCATTGCTAGGGTGTCTCCAGAATAACGATAACGACCATTACCAGGTACTATAACAGCTTGGGCTTGATAGTAGGATTCCGCATTTTGTGAAACTCCGACATACAAGGCCCTAAACTTAAACCCTTAGCCTAACCCCTAAAGCCTAAACCCTTCGATGGGTGCAACGCCCTTCAGCCCGAACTCAAGCAATTCCAAGTCGCAAGCCCTGAACCTCCATCACAAACCGCGCTCAGGGCTGAGTGTTTTATGGGTCATGGTTTAGAGCTTGAAGGTCTGTTAGGTTTAGGGGTTTAGTGTTTAGAGTTTAGGGTTTACGGTTCAGGGTTTACGATAGAGGCCTTAATATTTAGAATAGGGTTTTGGAGTATAATATACTAGAACTTTAATAAGGAACCCCAAAATAATACTGGTAATTATTTAGGCACCTATATTAGGGTTTGAAGGGTTTAGGGTTTACGGCTTTGCGCTTTAGAGGTTTACAGGTTTAGAGGTTGAGGGTTTAGGGTTTGCTGTTGAGGAATCTGGCATAGGGCTTCTCTGTCCGAAGCGACGAACACCCAGGCAAACAGAATTGAAAGACAACGCAGCTGGCAAAATGCCTGAGATCACCAACCGGGATTCAGGTTTAGGCTTTAGGGTTTCTGGCAGCCTAAACGTCACAACTTAAACCCCGAAGCCGTTTGACCCTAAGCCCTGAAACCCTAGCCACTACGGCTGAAAGCTAATGCCCGTCAGAGTGGCCCCTTGCTGTATCAGAGTCACCCTTGTAGCACAGCGTTTACCACCCATACTTGGAGGCCCAGGCGACGTAGTAAGTAGGTTTTAAGTAGAGTTATAAGTACCCTGACTGGAGTTACCCCACTTATAGCCCTTCTTATAAACGACTTACTAAGTCCCCTGGGCCTCCAAGTATGGGTAGTTCTCTGAATTAAGATCATTTTCGGGCCCCCGCTTTATCAGGGTTTGGGCGCCTAGAAAGGGAGCCTAACTTAGAGAACTACCCATATCGAGTTGAGAAGCTGCAGATCGCTACCGACCAAAGTTTCCTTAGCTTTCGTGGCAAAAGGTTTAGGGTTTAGGGTTTAGGGTCCCGATGGTGTCAGGAGAAAGGCACGGGCGAAAGCATGGTGAGGACAGCAAACACGGCCGAAAGAATGATAGGTCAATGATAAGGGACTGATTAAGGACAGCTCTGCGCAAACACTGGGGTTCTTAGTAAGATCCCGTTTGGGGAGTTCGAACCGTTCCAGGGTTTATGGCTTTCTGGACTCCAGGGTTAATGGCTTTCTGCAGTCCAGAGATGGATTCAGGCTTTAGGGTGGAGGCTTTCTCGCTGAGGTGTAAAGGTTTATTATTCTTGGCTTGGGTGTGCTCTTGGTTGCAGACGCAGTGACGGGAAGCACTTTCTGATAGGCCAGCGAAACCCTTTTTCACAGGGGACTCGACTGCTAGTTTCGCTGGCCTAAACCCTACAAACCAAGGTAGATCATCGAGTCATCGAAATACTCCGCTCTCAGATCTGCCCAAGGCCAGAAAACAAGAGCTGTATAATCTTCGTTATTGCCTCGATCTAGAAAGTGTTCACCGAGATTTGGGTCCCTAAGCCTGTACAACACACTACACAAAACTGTAAAACCACGTGAGCTCCTCGCATAAAAAGAAAACGAAAGACACGCCGGGTGTCCGTGAGAAACTCCTGCACCTCTTGCTCCTGATCCGGCTTTGGAGATTAAAGCTTAGGGCTTGGGGGGTTAGGGTTTAGGGTTTAGGGTTTTGGGCCTAGTTTCGGGTTTCCTGTTTTTTGTCAGGGTTTGAGTCCCTTCTCCCCTAACACCTACAGCCCTAAACCCCAACCGTAGGGTAGTTGCAACACCGGGTCCGAGGTCGTGGGGCGGACCCTAAACCCTAAACCCCAAGCCCCAAAACCTAAACCCTAAACCCTAAACCCTAAACCCTAAACCCCGAACCCTAAACCCCAAACCCTAAACCCTAAACCCCAAACCCTAAACCCTAAACCCTAAAACCCAAAGTGGGGCGGGCA